GCCCGGCGGAGAGGCCAACCTGGCAGGGGTCTCCCTCCGTCGTCCGTCTCCTCGGGGCCGGCGTGTCTCCTGCAAAGCCCGGAGGGCCGGGAAGCGCCGGGGAACCTCCTGCCAGGCGGCCGGGGGCCGGACGGAAGCCTCGGAGGAGGCCGGGCGGGCCCGTGTCTGGCGTGTGCCTGTCCCCGGCTGCCTCGGGCAAACGGGAGAGGCTCTTCCTGGGGGGGAGGGGGCGCCCTGCCCCCGCCTCCCCAGATGGCCCCCTCCCCGCCCGGCCAGACGAGCGCCGCCAAACAGCCCGGCGGGGACTATTTGACGAGCAAATATTGGGCCCGGGCGGCCCTCCCCCGGCCTGGGTGCCTGGCAATAGACCCTCCTTCGCCCCCGCCCCCGCCGCCTCTCGGGTTCTCCAGCCGGCGGCGGTGGAGGCGACCATCTGGTCCCAATTATCCATTAACCACGGCGCCCTCCTGCTCCGCCGTCCCCTCCGCGCCAGCCAGGCTCTCCCTGGGCCCCGGGCCCCGCGGAGGGGAGGGGCGGCGCAGGGGGAGTGGGGCTGGCCGGGGACTCGAGGCCGGCACCCAGTCGGGGCGGCCTTCTGCCAGGAGCGCCCGGAGGGGCAGCCCCCAGGCGGGGTCCGCAGCCGCCGACCGGGGCCCGAGACGCCCTCCCAGGCCTCTGCAAGGGCCGGGAAAGCCGCCAGGTGCCCGCAGGGCTGCCCCTCTCTCCAGAGCGCACGGAGGAGGACGGCGCCTCCTGGCCCGAAGGGCGCCGCCTCCGCCTCTCCAGCCCCCGCCCCACTCCGGGCAGCAGGACCCCGGCCGCCCGAGCCCTGCTGCTGCTGCCGCCGCCGCCGCTACAGAGGAAGGGCCTCGCTCCCCCACCGCCCACCCGGAGACTCGGAAGGAGGGAAAGCGCAGCCGGGGGCCGCCCCGACAACTCGGATTCCGGGCAGAGCCCGCTGGAGAGGGAGGGCGGAGGAGGCGAAGTTTGCGCCTCGACTCCTGCCCACATCTTCGCCCCCCGCTGCTTACCGGGGAGCTGCCTGGGGACGGGGGAGGGGACGCGACGGGGCGCTGGAGAGGACACTTCTGGCCTCCCTCCTCCCCCTCCCCGGCCATGTCGCCCTGGGCACCTAGCAAAGGCCGCCTCTCTCCACACTGGGAGGAAGAGGAGCGCCGGTCTGGCGAAGCGACGCCCTTGAGCTCCAGACAGAACTCCAGATTCGGGACTCTTCCTTGCGCCAGGAGATCAAAACGGGGGTGGGGGGAGGAGAACATAAGAGAGAAGCCAGTGTTGGATCAGGCCAGTGGCCCATCCAGTCCGACACTCTGTCACACAGTGGCCAGAAACACCAGGGGCCACCAGGAGGCCCAGCGGTGGGGCCAGGAGGGCACTAGGAGCCGCCCACACTGCTGCCCCCCCCC